CCTGCAAAAAGACATGTTAAAAAGTGACTTCCATGGAAAAACCAAACCACTGAACCGATCTGGGTGATTTTTGGATATGTTGGTCACCCAGATCTTCGGGGTACTTTTGGGGTGTTTGTAAATTGTGTGTTTTTCTGTACTTTGAGATAATTGTGTTTGTACAGTTCCTGACTCAATTATCTCTCAGACAAAGAGGAGGAGTATGTTGAATGTATTGCTTGTCTGTGCCTCTCCCCCTCCCCCTTTTTCCTGTCCTATTGTTTCCCCAACAGGGCATTTTCCCAGGGACACTGCCAGACCAGCTTAAACTAGCTGCTTTGTCCCTCCTCAATCTCCCATCAGCTTATGGTGTCTGGTGTGGTGCTTATAGTACTCGGTGATACTAGGAAGCAGCGAGTGACAGAGGTACCTGGTCGGGGTGCAGTCGGTCCGTCACTTGTCAGGCTTCAAGCCCTGCTGCCCGAATTCACTTCAGTACCATAGATAAGTGTCTTAGGTGGTCCTCCCATGTGGGGCACACACAAATCCCTGAAATCCCTCTAGGAGCCTGTCGGCCATCCTCTGAAAGGTAGCTGGGGCTACTGAATACATACACTTAGATTGCTGAATACATACACACACACACTCTGCTGAATACACACACTGCTGAATACACACACTGCTGAATACACACAGATAGACTGCTGAATACATACACACAGACAGACTGCTGAATACACACACTGCTGAATACACACACACAGACTGCTGAATACATAAACAACCACAGAGTGCTGAATACATACACACAGCCCCTTTTTGTGTCTATATCGCACCTTACCCCGTTTCTTTGTGATGTCTTCCACTCCGCCCTTGCCCCCTAGTGATCTCCTCTCCCTGTCCCTTAACTGTCTCCTCTCCCCTCAAAGCTAGTCCCTTTTAGATAACCCCCCCTTAGTGGTCAGCCATTTATTTTACCCTGTAACCAGGGCTGGTCCTTTTCTCCTTTCCTAACCGCTCTGTGTGTCTCTTTGTCCTTCTGTGCACATCTTCCCCCTCAGATTTCTGTGTCTCCCCTCTCAGCCCTTTCTGTGCCTCTTTCCCACCCAGCCCTCTCCATGTGCCTCCTTAACCCGAACCAGTCCTTCCATATGTCTCCTTAACCCACCAGGCACTCAGTTTGTCTTGTGTGAAGGTAGTGGTTATTGTGTGGTGCGACCCATTATAATCCCCCCAAACCCGCTGCCCCCTCCTCCACCAATTAAGACCAAGAAATGTAAATGTGGTGTAAACAGGCCACAGCTTTATTTATAAATAACAAATATAAATAAATAACCAATTTTAACTATCCTTACATATGAGGATATGTAACTCAAACTCGTCCTTGCCAACCGGACCATAACAACTTTAGAGTACCCCCTTCCAGGGATCCTGCCCTCCCCCCTCGTCCAAGATAACTGGCCTTCACCTTGGCCTTCCAATTCCCCATGCCAAACCCTGGCCGCCTTTCCTGGCACGGAGGGCACGCCCAATTACCAAAACATTTTCCGAGGTTAGGGGAGGGACCAGACCCAGAATTCCTTCTTTCAGTGTACTCTGTTTCCCAACTGGTTTGGCAAGGACCATACCTGCCACTAGCACCTGCTGCATTTAAGCCTAAATCAGCGGGCGCAACTCCCAACCAACGCCATGGCCTGTTCCAACGCATCCTGCAGAGCTAAATTAAATAAATCCAACCCCACATCGGTTAGATGGACCCCGTCCGGGTGAAAAGAAATCACCGCCCCCCCTTTCAAATATTCGGTGTCGCACCGTGACACCCCCAACTCCAAGCTCAAATTTGGACACCCTCTTGTTGATTTTTACCCTGCAGCGTTCAATAGCCCCCTGATCCCGCGCGCGCCCCCAATAGTTCCTGGATACTATCCCTGACCAAACTAGGCAAAGTTGCGGGAACAGTACTCGCAAGCACGCTAAATCCCGTTTAATCAATTCTCCAAGACCCCATGCAGGCAGCGCCCCCAGGTCATTGCCCCCCAGATGTACCACCAATACATCAGGAGTCCCCAAGAATGTAGCCAGCTGTACCACCTCCGGCAAGAGCTGGCCCTATCGCATGCCCCGGAACCCGAACCATCGGACTTTCGCCGGCTCCCGAGGTATTCCAAGGCGTGTCCCACCCGGGCGTACCCCTGCCCGCAGGTGGGCCCAGTAAATATATGAATGCCCGATCAGCCAGATCTGTCGGCCGGGCCCTGCGGAGAAAACACAAGGGGGGTACTTATCAGACGCGTAGGCCGTATATAAGACCGAAACCTCCCAGATTCCCACCTACCAATCCTCTGAATCTCTTGGTCAGAGAAACCTAGCCGAGATGCTTCTGTTGCCGCCCCAATCCCAAAATCTTCGCTCGGGAGACCCAGCCGGTCCAGCGCCAACCGGAATACCCTGAGGAATTGAAAACGAGACAGGTAGGTACCATCCTCGTGAATTAACAGCGGGCCCGCAACACTCGGGCGTCTAGAGCAATAGGACTGGCATGCCGAGACAGGGCAAACAGCCGAATCAGGGATGGCGCGGAGGGTAACCCATAAACCCTTGCCAAGAACATCAGTCTTGGACCGTCGCAACAAAAAGCGCACTGCACCGCTCACGAGGAACACATCGTGGAACAACAGACCTCCTGGGGTCCCTCTGCTAGGGCTCACTAGTTCCCCGATTCTGAGGGCCCCAAAAAAGGCAAAAGTGAAGGCTACTAGAAACAAACAAGCTTCCGGAGCGGAATAACAGACCTGGGGTAGTATCGAGGCGATCCCCAGCAGCAGCGCCCCTGAAACCGGCCTCCAAGAATCCCGCATTCGAGGGCCCCTACACCAACCGCGCATCGCCAACCTAACCATGCAATCTTTTGTAACATCTGGTACCTGAGTTAGGTTGAACCAAAAACTAAGGCCTGATAGCTTCCCCGACACAGTGGCCGGGGAACACCCGAAGCCTCCCAGAACCAGAGCAAACGTAACAAACCTTGGACCCTTTCGGCAGAGGACGTGTACCCACCGTGATCCTGTTCCAGCGCGACCCAATCCCCCCAAGCCTTACCATACCGGATCCATGTCACCTCCGACACCGAAGACCGTATCCATTCCCTTATTCGCTCAGGCCAAGGGACCATAGTTCTCTGGGACAGGAGAGGCTTTCCATATCCGCTCCCGGAGCGGCCGCCCGAAACACCTGCCATTGAAAACGAGAAAGAGCGTCAGCCGTGGTATTCAGAACACCTGGAATGTGCACAGCACGGCATGTCACGTTCAGAGACAAGCATCGTAAAACCAGTCGCCGCAAGAGTCTGACCACCGGAGGGGAGGAGGCCATTAAGTTATCAATGGCCTGCACTACACCCAAGTTATCACAGTGGAACACGACTCGCCGGTCTTTGAGCTCCATCCCCCATAGATGAACCGCCACCAGGATGGGGAAGAGCTCCAAGAACGCCATGTCAATCCAAGCTACAGGCCAAGGTTCCGCGCACCAATGTGTCCCCAGAATAGCCCCAAAACCAGATGAGCCCGCAGCATCTGTGAACAGCTGAAGCGCTGCATTCGAAACCTCTGGCTGCTGCCAATAAGACCTACCATTGTACCCGTCTAGGAAGACCGCCCAGACTGCCAAATCCTCCCTGAGCGCCTTGGTCAAGCGGATGAAATGAAACGACTTGGAGATACCAGCCGTGGCGGCTGCCAGGCGCCGGTTGAACACTCTGCCCATAGGCATGATCCGACAGGCAAAGTTCAGCTTGCCTAACAGGGATTGAAGTCGTTGCAATGTAATCTTCCGCAGGGAGCCCGCCTCCCGCACCACCCCCCGTAAATCGGCCAATTTGTCTGCCGGGAGCCGACATTCCCCGATTACAGAATCTCGATTCCAAGAAAGCTCAAGCACGGGGAAGGGCCAGCGGTTTTTTCGGGCGCCAGTGGCACGCCAAACCCACAGGCCACGTCTGCCACCGATTGCAAAATGTGTGCGCATATCGGGGAATGCGCGGGACCAACACACAGAAAATCGTCCAAGTAGTGAAGAAGGGAGTCGTAACCAGACTCCGTTCTCACTACCCATTCCAGAAAGGAACTAAAACATTCAAAATAGAAGCAGTATATGGCACAACCCATCGGGAGGCACATATCCACGTAGTAATTCCCTTCAAACAGACAACCTAGGAGATGATGACACTCTGGGTGAACCGGCAAGAGGCGAAAGGCTGATTCAGTGTCAGCTTTTGCCATGAGTGCCCCGGGGCCCGCAGCCCGGACCATAGAAACCGCAGCATCGAATGAGGCATATGAGACCCGGCATAGTTCTGCCGCGATGTCATCATTGACCGAACCCCCGTGGGTGTGCGATAGATGATGAATGAGCCGAAATTTTCCCGGCTCTCTCTTGGGTACGACGCCTAATGGCGACACCCGGAGATCAGGGAGAGGCAGATCCCGGAAAGGGCCCGCCATGCGTCCCAACGCAACTTCCTTGGCCAACTTATCCCTGACCACCCCCGGGTGG